TCTCCTCTCCTCGCTCCCGTGCTTGCTGCTTCTATAGCATCTTCTTCCTCTTGAGCTCCCTCGTCTTCCTATCCCACTCGGCCACGGTGCGTTTCATTGTTGCCAGGACCTAGTCCTTCGGTAGCGGAGCCGGGCTATCCCCGAAGACGAGTCCCTTCGGCTGGTCCCGCTATCCCGAGGTCAGCATCAAGGGGTCAGAAATTCAAGTGAAAAGGAGGCACGGGAAAAGAGAACTTACGAAGTCGATGAACCCCGGTTCTGGCCGCATTGGGGGATGCTCCGGCACCGGATACACGAAATCAAGGACAACGCCGGCATTGTCCTTCGAAGGCTCCATCGCCTCCTTGATGCGCTGCGCCACTTCAGAGGGGGGGAGCGCTTCGTCGACAAGCGCCGTCCCTTCGAGTGATGCTCCGAGCCCCATTAGGTACAGGAGGAGCACGCGGCTCATCAATGGCGCCACCCTCCACGTATGGTAGGTGCCGATGATCCTCAATCCCTTCACGCCCCTCTCCTTCAGAATTTGGAGGGCGACGAGATGGTCCTTGATCCTCTTCTTGTCTTTGTCCGGGACACCCCACTTCCATGACCCCCGGACCTCTTCGATGATGCGCCCGGAAAACACCGGCAAGGGGGCGGCAACGTCATCGTTGACGTAAAACCAATGCGAATGTCACCCCTTGTTGGAGGTCGACAGACGCATCGACGGGGTATTCATTCACCCGGTTGTTGTAGAGATGAATGTTGGCGCATCCCATCGGCATGCTCAGCTCTTGCTTCCCAACCTGCTTCTTTGACAGGTTGACGGCGAAGAGATACCACCATAGGTCGAAGTGGGGACTAATCCCTAGGAACTCCTCACACAGGGCGACGAACGCCGCAATGTGCTAGACCCCATTGGGAGTAAGGTGCTGCAACTCCACCTGGTAGTAATCCAACAGCCCCCAAAGGAACTTATGAGCAGGTATGGTGAATCCCTGCTCATGGAAGTGAGCGAAGGACACGACATACCCATCGGGCGGCGACGACTCATCCTCATTGTCGGGCAGCCGCCACTCCTCGGCGGTGGTCAGCGGGCGAATGAGGCCACGGTGAACGAGGCCCTCCAGGCGCTGAGGGGTGATGTTGGATCTATACCATGGCTCCATTAAAATGATCGGGAGGGGGTGGATGCGAGTTTAACGGCGGCTGTGATGCGGATGCGAGCTTGACAGCGGCTGCGATGCGAGTGCGGGAGGCTCAGGCGATTGGCGGTGGAGGTTGTCAATGTGAAGGCGAGAAGGCAAAGTACGGAACCCTAGGGGTGAACCCCTTGGTTTTATAGGGGCGACGGATGCAAGAAGAGCAACCGCCCGCCTAGGTCTTCAAGCCTGCCACGATACACCACCATGTCACGTCGCGGGATATGCGCCCGCGATCCCTATCCTTTCCCACCAAAATCACGCCGACGTTTCGCCTTCCCAAGCAGACCGGGACTCTTTTCCCACAGGGGGGATATGAGTCAAAAAGTATTTCTCCGGCCCACCTAGGCCCAGGAGTTTGAGGGATGGCCCAATAGTTTCAGCGGCCGTCCCAACGAGGGATGGGCCCGCGAGCGGCCAGAACTCAGGTACACGAGCATCAAGGGAGCCTCGATCCACAATCGAGTCCCAACCAGGCTGACCCTGGATGAAATCTCCGCGAACGGGATACCAGGGTTCCCTTCAAAACTGTTCAATTGACAAAACCAAATCTCACAGCCTTACCCACGAAGGGTCCAAAATTACCCCCCGGGCAATTCTATCCAAATCACCCGGGGGCTCGAGGGCTACACTCGACGGGTGCGCTCACGCGCACCTTCTGGCAAATCGAAATACCCCCCGGGCGATTCTGCCCGAATCACCCGGGGGCTCGGGGGCTACACCCGTCGGGTGCGCTCACGCGCATCCTCTGGCGAATCGAAATACCCCCCCCCCCGAGGCGATTCTGCCCGAATCACCCGGGGCTTACACCCGTCGGGTGCACTCGCGCGCACCCTCTGGCAAATCAAAATACCCCCAGGCGATTCTATCCGAATCACCCGGGGCTCGGGGGCTCGGGGGCTACTGTCAGGGACCTAATATCGGGGTATCCAATAAGGTGGAACTAATAACCATCGAATGTTGACGCTTCCGGTCAGACAAGAACGCTACTACGCTTCTTGCCCGAATGACGGAAGCTTGGTTCCGCCTCGCCTGACCCCCGAGGGCTAGACTCACGCCGCCTCGACGGCCGAGGGCTCGGCCGCCCTCGTCCGACGCGTCGAGGGTTGGCTCACGCCCACGTCTTAGGGCGGGCTCTGCCTCGTCTTCCGATGTCTCGAGGGCTGGCTCGCCTCCCTGACGTCTCGAGGGCGAGGCTCCGCCGCCGCCTGACGTCCGTCAGGGTCGGCTCTCCCGCTCGCCCGACATCCAAGGAATGGCTCCGCCTCGCTCGACGACTGCACTCTGCTCCTTCATGATGACGAGCATAGGGTACGACAAAGACATTAGAGTCAATCGTAGCACCGAGGACCATGCCCTGCACGCCTGCAGGAAGGTACCGTCAGGCTATGATGGGACGGGCGCTTTAAGCCCTTTCCGACCTAACAGAGCCCAAACAGTGTAGTAGGCGCCGATTTTTGTCCTACAGTGTTGTAGGCGCCGCCATCAGCCCTCGGGCGCCGATACTAACACAGGCATACGACAACCGCCACAATCCAAGGAAGAACTCACATCATCTACAGTACAGGCGTATAGTCATTTCTCTGTCTACTCCCCGCAGAGTCCTGGCTCGGCGCCCTAACACACCGCACCGTCCGCCGGGGGAGGATGGGATATGACCACTCGCTGAGACGAAGCCAGAGCCCGGCCCTATCAGGATCAACGAAATATGCTATCCTTGGCGTGGTCTGCCATGTTAGCAGGGCTGGCACAGGGGAAAAGGAAGACCCGGCTCCCTCGAAGGACTTCTCGACCTTTGATTTTTTCTCTTTCTCCCATCTGTAACCCCTGCTCCCTATTGGTCTATAAAAGGGAGGGCAGGGCACCCCGGGGACCGATCGTTTTGATACACAAGACACATCCAAGCAGCAACCGAGCTCTTGGCGTCCTTTCGACCTTTACATCAGAGACTTGGGATCTGTCCCTCTCTCGACATTTTGTACCCCCTACTACGAATATTTTTCGGTACTAATAACACGATCAGCAACAGACTGGACGTAGAAACGTTCTACCCGAACCAGTATAAACCCTGTGTCCTTTAATACATCATCCAAGCTTAACGCACAATAATTATAAATTTATTAATTGGTATTTGTTCGAAACACCGACCAGGGGCATAATTGATACTAGTTCAATCTACTGGTGATCGAGCTGGATAGATCGAGCGCAGAAGGGAGGAGAGAGGGGTCCCGCCGTCTACATACAGTAGGCCAGTAGCATGGCTGCATGGGGCAGGCATAGATGGTGCCACGAGTAGGAAGCACAGCTGGGCCTTGTGAGGTTTCGTAGGAGTATAGCTCGGGTGGGTTTGGATTGGATTTGATTTGACGTTGCATTGCTGTGTACATAGTCGTCTCTGTCGCTGCTCCTATGGTCCTGGTACTTGCATGTATACATCGAGTATACAGTAGAGTATTATTTTTATACTAACCGCTGTAATACGTGAAAACAGTATTATACCTCTGCCTCTCTATCACCTCCATCATCGTTTCTTCTTTCTCTAGTACTAGGCTCATGCCTCTCTAGCCACTGTAGTAGGAGTATTACGTACGCCGGGACGAGGGACGATTAGGACTAATACCGGCAGCCGTCATCATGGCAGTGCATGCATTGACGTACCCACACCATCATTCGCGCCCGACTGCCCGTATTGTACGAGTGCGCCTACACGACGGCCCGTCGTGGTCGCCGTACTCGCGTCGCATGCCATGCATGCGCGCGTTGTGCCTTAATAATTAAAGACGCCGCCCAGCACCGAGCTGCGGTCGTCGCGTCCCGACCGCTCGCTCTCGCCACAACACGTCCGTCGCGCGGGGCGGGCGGGGCGGGGCGCGGATTGCCGGAGGCCGGAGGGCGCTCCGTGGTCCCGATCGAGTCTGTGGACCCTACCGTCGTCGTCTTTTCTGTCCTCGTCTACGTGTATGGTGCACGCGTACGTACAGCACCACGTACGTGCGTGAATGGAGCGAATGATGAGTGGTACGCACTCCGTACTCTGTCACTGCTACGTGATATGCCTGTCCGCCCGCCCCCTACGTACGTACGTACGTACGTAGTGTGCATGCATCTCGAAAGCAACCATGCGTGACATGTACGTCGCAACGTACGCTTGATGAAGCCAATCATGGACACAGGTACGTACATACCGGCCTTGCTACACAACGTATGGCTACGAGAGCGAGAGTGATGATGATGATTAAACATAATGGAGCGACCAGACCAACGAATACATACATATACAGACAGAGTAATATAAACAGTGGATGGACAGCGGAAGGGCCGGGGGTCCAACAAGCAATAGGAAATGAATTGAATCAAGGTGTGTGCACCAAAGGGACCACCCAAACCCATGGATCCGGACATGGACATGGACATGGACATGGACATGGACATGGACATGGGTGCTACTGCTAGCTCGCACCCGTCGGTCGGTCGGTCAATCACAACTTCACGGGGCGATAGATGCAGTGGAGTGTGGAGGGAGCTGAGCTGAGAGGTCCTGGTGGTCCCCCGGCAGCGTAGCGCGTTGGAGGACTCGTGGCCGTGGCAAGCACTGGGCCACGAACCACCACCACTGTGGCCACAGTGCATCATAAGCTGCCACTGCGACGCATATGCCATGCCCCGTCCCGACCCCCGGCTGTATGCGTGGGCAGCCCCACAACGCATGGCGAACCGCGTGCCCGCGTGACGTTGCAACCGGCCCACGGACTCTGACTCGCACAACTCCCTTGCTTCCCTGCGGCTGCGGGCCATGCTTTCTCCTTGATGAAATCAGCCTCAAGCCTCCTCTCTCACGCAGTCAGCATACGGTATGTGGGCATGTGGCTGCCATGGCAGGGACCGCTGCACCTGCACCTGCTGCACAGCCGGTCGCATTGGCTGCTCAGGCCTGCTCTCTGCTCTGCGGGCGGCCGGGTTCGACGCGCCCCATCCACCGGCCGCCGGGCCGCTGCACCTGCACCTGCTGCACCGCCGGTCGCATTGGCTGCTCAGGCCTGCTCTCTGCTCTGTGGGCGGCCATGTTCGACGCGTCCCATCCACCGGCCGCCTACATCCAGTCAGTGCTCCACGCCACCAGCGCCCGGGCGTACGGGGCTGGCAAAAGTCGACCGGCCAGGCCGAGGGTCCCAAAGACAAAGGCCCTGCTTTACGCACCGTGCCACAACTTCTGCAGGGCAAGCAACCCAACCAGCCAACAAGGTATCCCAGATCATCTGCCACTGGCTGACTGGCAGCAATAGAGCCCCATAATTCAAAAAAAAAAGGGTAGTACCGTAGTAGCACAGGACTACTAGCACCTGCGGCAAGTCTAGTCCTCAAACCAAGCTCAAAAGAGGCAAATGCAACAGGTCCCAGTGAACGGGCCGTGGCCCAGCAAGCAAGCATCATGCTACTACAGGTTCCAAAGTTCAGCACCATCAACACGATCCCTGGTTCCACAGACCTCACTCAAGATTAAAAGCATACAAAGCACAGACGACAGTGGTGGTCTAGCAGTATGCGCTAATACTAAGCACAAATGGAACTTAGCAATACAACATCACCCCCAAAAGGGGGGTAGTTTTAGTAAGCTTGGTCCGACAAAGGCATTGGGCTGACCGCATGACCATATGCTGGTGAGACACGGTCATGTGCATATCATATTGTAGCATCCACCGGTCAGTCAATCACTGCGAACAGGAGATTCGTCGGCGGACCTGGAGCGGGATCCGGGAGGTGAGCCCGAGTACTCCTTGGGGGACCTGCGGTGAGGAGGGGATCCAACGCTGTCTGGTGGGGGCGACCTCCTATCAACATTAATATCATTGTTAGAGACTTTAAGAGCTCTTGCTAGTTGCTAGTACATGATTAGGCTAGTACTCTACATATTTTTTCACATTGCTTTACTCATTTCACAACCCATGCAACAATAGTATTTTTATCTGTTGGTTCACCAAAATAAAAATTTCCTTGCTACAAAAGCATTCTAGGGGACTACAATACATAGCTGTGGTTTAAAACAGGTAAAAAAAGTGAATTTGGAGTCTGCAGCAACACCTGTTTGGAGGATGAATGAAACCACTACTAGTATTTGACATTTTGAACAGGTCACTAGTTTCAGTGAGTAGTTGACAGATTAGACTATGATGCGACTGGTAATAAAGTAGGTGGGAGCAAAGGTATACACAGTAAGATAAAAGAAATATCTCAATTTATATACATTGACAGATGAAGCCAGATTCATGTGTAGCAATGAATTACTTACTTTTCATAACCATTGTCAGCATCATCTCTACTGGCAGGAGAGTAGGACCTCCGCTTCTTATCTTCATCATGCTCCTTTGGCGGGCGCCTGGGAGGAGATGCGCAGTGCGCTTCCTTTCTCCTTGGAGAAGCTGAGTAGTCATCTCGCCGCATTGGAGCAGGAGAGTATGATCTGCTTTAAAAAAAACATAACAGAATTAAAAAAAAAAAAAGTAAAAGGTTCCACAGATCAAAGCTCATGAGCTTTTACAAAAAAGTATTATATCAGCCAAGCATACCTCGACCGAGGACGCCCCCGATAGCGAGGAGAGCGGGAACGGGAACGAGACCGCCCTATATGGAAGATGAGAGGCTATCAGTACTTTCGTACTCAACAAAAGTAAATTGCAGACTTCGATTTTTTACAAGAAAATTTTCATAGTGACTGGAGATATAATCCTGAGATGCTATTTGTAATTTTGAAAGGCACTTGTGCATGACGCATTTTTTATTTTCAAAAAAAAAAAGAGGGGGCTTTATCTAATATATATGCATCACCTATCAGAAGCAGCAAACAGATCTAGAATTTTATTGGTTGGGTTCAGAAATATTGGTCCTCTGTATTACAGCGATGTTTGATAAGGCACTTGATAGCAGTCACGATAGTACCAGAAGAGTAACAGGCAAAGTGTAAAAATGATCTGTTGCCAAATTAATAAGATGCACACAAGAGAAACGCTGCATGAAGGCTAAAAGGAAACTAATATGTCCTGACCAATCATGCCCAGTCACATAAAAGGTATTTAATGTTTTTCATTTTGATGAAGGGGGCTAACCATAGCAGAATAAATTAAACCATTGAAGGCATAAACAGGCTACACGGAAAGCCCTCAAACATTCCATCTAATTACAAGGCACGGGGCACTGTATTAGGAAGTCGGAGGCCGTCGATGGACGAATCCAACGGCTGAGGCAATAGATTGGTACTGTAGGACTGTTGCGGCTCAGAAACTAAAGATTTGATATGATATGATATCCAACTTGAGATAATAACCAACCCCTCAGGATTACTGGCAGCCAACTTCTAATTTTGATGTGATTGCCCAGGCATCCCCCTTTACATCCACAAGCAGTGACAAAACGGATACACAATGTATAATTGAATAGAATCAGAGGATCCAGGGCAACAGATGTACAGCTTGGACAGCATAGTACCATGAATGATACGAAAATACAAATGCAAAATTACCATAGTAAGAAGACCGGCGACCTTCATGACCAGAGTAACCTCTGCACAGCAATCACAAAAAGTCATTTCAAATGAGTACATAATAGGAAAAGAGGCATAAATTTACTACTGCAACAAAAAGGAATACCATACCTGACTCTAGTTCTGTTGCGCATTTCTTCTGGCCTTTTTCGCGACTCAGCAGCAAGAACAACAGCTATTTCCCGACCGAAGAAAACTTGGCGATTCATGTGATACTGGGCTTCAGAGGCATCGTAAGGATCAACAAACTCCACAAAGGCAAATCCTCGAGGCTCCCTGCATATGTTGGTTTTATTAGACAGTATGACGGGTAAAAAATTCAAGGAAGTGACAATCAAATGAGGGTGCAAAGTGTTCACAATAGTGTCTTGTTGGCGTTTTACCATCAAGTTCAAATATTCACTGTGCCCTCTATGGTTCTCGGTGAAGCACAGTCAACAACTTACAAACATTCCATCAAAAGGGAAGCAAGTGTTGCAAAAAGCAGTAAGACGCCCAGGCTCTAGTGTCCAAGTTTCTTGTATACAACTACGTAAGGTGATCCTCATAAAGAGCATCTTCGTAAAATCATTCGCTTCAAGTTCCCCAACATTTGTAAAGTCACAAAAGTACTTGAAATTGACTTGACTCTTTTATCTTCTCATGTACCAGCCAGTATATATCTCTCATCTTCTCTTCATGAAATTAATTTTCTCAATGTATCAAATCTTGTCTTCATAGAAGAACTTCTTCATCGGACAAGACTATCTTGCCAAGCAAATGAATTGTTAGTAATGTTAACAGGCATTCTTTGACAAACAAAGAGCATGCTTCTACTTAAAACTAACACAACCCTGGGAAACATTTAGAAAATATAATCCACATAGTGCAACGATGAATTGGCTATGAGAAAGCAGAGTACAGGTTTATAGTCCATCATGCTGTTAGATAACAATTGATGGTGCATGTCGATTGCAAAAAATAACATGAGATTCATCAGAGCTTAAGCACATCAAGCACATTGCAAATTGGACGTTGCACTGAAGTTGGAGTATGCACTAGTGTTCACTTTGTTAAATATAGGATGTCTGCTCATATAATTCATGCCTCTAGAAAATTAGTTTGATGATTATGGCCAAAAAACTAGACAGGTCTCCAGCTATTTAGAACTCCAAATATTATAGAAACAGCAAGAGGGATCTTTTTGAGTAATTAAGACATAAGTCACAGAATATGGTGATTTAGTACAGCTTACCCAGAGTAATAGTCCTTTGGAATGTAAACATCCCGGACAGGACCAAACCTTTCAAAAGGAACTCGAAGATCCTCCGCTCTGACAAAGTTTGACATGCAAATTGAAGTCAGCTACTCGAGGAAAGTACCAAAGTAGTATTTGCTTCTTTATTTAAAATGTTACGGTCATAAAAATGGAAATCAGTTTATATTATTTTAACAGTGGAAGGAAAACGCACACGGTATTAGTTTCTGTACCTGACGCTTAATGGGATATTGCGGACCAAAAGGCTTCCACTACCCTCTTTGTTGCGTCCTCCATATCCCCTCCTAGGAGGAGGGGGGCTTCTTCCTCTGCCACCATATGCTCTCCTAGGGGGACTACGATAAGGGGGGCTGTACCTCCTCATAGTTTTTCCTGTAATTGCACCGAAACATAACAGATTGTGTTAATAACAGGACAGGCATGATAAATCAGACATAATTAGTGGACTTATGAGCGGTGTATTGTGACACATTACAAATCATGTCAGCCTGAGCATCAGGCTAGCACATACAAAATCATTCATGAGCACTAACGTTATGTGTAACAAAACAAAAAAAAGTGTGTTCATCACCATTCGATGCACAGTTCATCAGATATGCTTGAAAGATACAAACAATTTTAAAATTCACCAGTGACATGGCATAGAATAGATCAGGCTAATCATAAGTCAAAGGATGATGCAAGCTGCAGACTAGTATTTACCATGGAAACTGCATTAACAACAACAACAACAAAGCCTTTAAGTCCCAAACAAGTTGGGGTAGGCTAGAGTTGAAACCCAGCAGAAGTAATCAAGGTTCAAGCACGTGAATAGCTGTTTTCCAAGCACTCCTATCTAAGGCTAAGTCTTTGGGTATATTTCATCCTTTCAAGTCTCATTTTATTGTCTCTATCCAAGTCAACTTCGGTCTTCCTCTGCCTCTCTTCACGTTACTATCCTGGCTTAGGATTCCACTACGCACCGGTGCCTCTGGAGGTCTCCGTTGGACATGTCCAAACCATCTCAACCGGTGTTGGACAAGCTGTCCAAACCATCTCAACCGGTGTTGGACAAGCTTTAACATGTATGTTTATTGCTTCTTTCCGCTCAAAACTCAACTAAAATAGACAAAGCAGAGGTATGGTCTTTCCAATTATTAAATTGCGGTTCCAAATAAGAATTGCCATACAGTCTAAATCTAAACCTAAAGTAAAACAAAATGAGGAGCGCTACAGATCAAAAGCATAATCCAGCAAATCCTCACACACCGCCCTAAGATAACAAGAGGGGCCCACCCAATCCTCTCAAAACACAATTCAGAGGTTAGTCAAAGCATTGGCGTTGCTGCATCTAAGTCTCAGCTCCGACAATAACCCAAACAAGTCGTCGCAACGGGAATCGAAATCTAAAATTCCCAGCGGCGAAACATCACCGCTCGTAATCCCGCAACTAGTGAACAGCTCCTCGCGGCGTTACTGTTTGCGGGATTATTAGTTGCTAGTCCCGTGCGGATCTAAGCCGTACGAGCGGATCTATCGCAGCGCTGCGCACCTACCTAGGGTTTGCGGCGACAGGTCTCCACACGAGCGCGCCCACTTATGGACCGCCGTAAGCGCACTGAGAGAGAGGAAAAGGGAGTGAGGGATAGGGAGTTACCGGATGCGCCCGGTGATGGCCGGAGAACCGCGCCCGCAGCCGCTGAGAGACACGGAGAAGGGGGTGGGCCGTAGGCGGGTGTGCCGGGTGGGGTGCGGGGTTCGCGATGCCAGACGAGGAAGAGGAAGGCCTGGGAGCGCGACGCTCGCGCGCACGAGGGAGGGAGGGAGGGTGGGGGTGGGTGATGGGCCGGGCCTTGTCGACAGTGGCGCTCCGGCCTGATTGCTCGGTATCACGCCGGTGGGCCGTCGCTGGCCTGTCGAGGTCCTAATTTAACCGAAGCTGATTTCTACACGAGGACATGGGTCCCGCATGTCAGTCCTCAGTGTCTTCTTCCTCTCTCCTTTTCTTCATGTGGACATGGTCGCAGGTAGAGAGTGCAGCGAGCACGACGCGGCAGGTTCCGGCGGCGCTGGTTGGGCGGCACGCAACGAGGCGGTCGAGCAGGTGCTGCAGATGGCGTGCGTGGGCCAGGAGAGTGATCAGCGGCGCATTCCCATCGGAATCGGACGCCGACATGCGCCGCCCCAGAGGTGACCTTGGCATGTTTGTAGAAATGTCTAAATGGAATAGAGGAAAGAGACTTACATTACATGTGGGACCCATGGACACGTGTAAAGTACAGTTAAAACTACGCTGGATGAAACCAGATTCAACTTAGGTTGGGGAGGAAAAACAACTGGTTTTGATGGTTAAAACCATTACCATATCGGACAAAACTGGTTTCAACTTAGGTTGAGGAGAAAGACAACTGGTTTTGATTGTTGGAGGTACAATGTCTGGTTTCATGGTTGAGGGAGGAAATCTAGACTCAGCCTATAGTTTAAGGATGTAATTTTTTTTTCTATCCATTCTAACTCTTATTTTATATGCTTTGCTACCGCCATGTAGCCAGAATAATAAAAAGGTTGTAAGTAGATTTTATGCCAAGGTCAAGGAGAGACAAGAGAAGTTATAGCTGTGCATGAGCTTCAAAGAATTTTGTGAAAGAAGAAAGTGAGCCATGAATGAATGATGATATATGTTCTTGTAGCCGACTACTAAATAGATATAGGCTATAAATGTACATATAACCAACAATGGACTATATTATTATTTATGCTCTTATAGTCTTATGAGAGAGTATTTATAGACCAGCAGAGGTGGGAGAGAGGGGTCGCTACATGCTTGGGCTCATAATAGTTTAATTTGTTAACTCTCCGTGTTCACATGGTTTCATGTTAATCTTATGAGGGTAAGATCATTAGCACACTTGTGGTTTCTGGGTGTGTGGCATGTATGGTTTGTTGATATCACGTGCTATTGTGTTCCTGCAGGGAGATGTTTCTTGGATAAACCGTGTGCTTGGTCTTCTTTGATTTCAATGAGGGTCCTGTTCTTTTAAGGGCATTCATGTTCCTCGGATCTCTTGCATTTTTCAGCCACAGATCGGTTTATGTGATGCTAATTTCCTTTACTTTCCGATTATGCTGTCTGCAGGTTGATTTGAGGGGTACTGATAATTGGCTGGGAGTAGTGGACAACAAATTGGTGCTAGTTCTTGTCTCTTTTTGCTAAGGTGAGGTTTTGGTTACATGGCCATGCCCAGATTAATCACTGTTTCCGTTGAATTGCGTAAGTTTGTGTTGATTCTTCTTGCCGATTGCATCTGGAATCACAATTCGCAGGGTAAAACATGCTAGAAATAGTCTCAGAAATCCATTTCATCCTAAAATTGTTCAGGCCAGGGCTCATGTCATAGTAGTTACCTTCTCTGAGCATCATGTGAACCTGGTTTCTCCCTCTATTTTCACAAAGGACTAAGATAGATAAGCTTCCATCATATAGTCCCTATCTATTTCATACAATGTCATGTTTCTTCCATTTCTTCAAATCTAAAAATGCCAGGTAATCTATAATTAACTTATGGACTTGCTAAGCTAACTAGATTATATGGAACAATATCTAGGCCTGATGAAATTCTGAATGGTTTAAACTGTAGGTGCGCCTCATGCTAATTATTCATTCAACTTAGGCCCTGTTTGGTTACCCCTCCTAAAAGCTTTAGGAGCTAAAATCTGGATAGAATCCGTCTAAAGAATCAAACACCTCCTCCTAAAACCTCCTAAAAGTTTTAGAAGGCTGGTTTTTCTTTAGGAGCTCCACCCCCTCCTAAAACCTCCTAAAGTCCTTTCTGGACCTCCACTACCCCTCATTTATTGCCTTCTCCCTCTCTCTCTCTCCTAAAGAAGGGTAAAAGTGTCTTTGTTCAACAACATTTATTGCCTTTAGTCAGTTTTAGGAGGTGCAACCAAACACTCTTTTAGGCGGTTTTAGAAGACTGCCTAAAACTTTTAGGAACTAAAGTTTTAGAAGCTCGGAACCAAACAGGGCCTTATTATTTCATTGTTCATTTAGTTCCATCTAAAACTACAAGATCGTCTGAAACTTTCCTTATAGAATCAGTTTTTAACAATGTATAAACTGTCGTAAGGTGAACCGAATAGAGGTGACTATGTTATGACATTCTCTTGGCTACTGATCCTGCAGACTGTATGGCAGAGGACACAGGAATGAGTGGGATCCTAGGTGCATTGGCTACAAACGTTGACTTCAAGTTGTCATTACTCAAAGATGTTATGGCTGAGTACACAGAGATAAAACGTGTGATCAATGGGTTAGCCGAAGAAAAAGTGAGACTCCAACAAGAGAAGGAGAGGCTCCAGCATGAGAAGGAGATGCTTCAGCATGAACAGCAATGTCAGTTCCATATGAATGTCAAATTCTGTTTCTAAAAGTAGTTTCTTTGGACCATGACGTGTCATATGTGTTCATTGGCATGATCACATTCTGTAGCCTAATATTCACCAAAATCATATGCTTCTTGGATTCTTTTAACCATTTATAGTGAGTTGAAATACCATTTCTAATTTCAAATATTCTTTTCAGCAAATGGAGAGACTTTGGCAGCAATGAAGGAGGACCTTTTGGCATCAAAAGACACATTGGTGGCAGTAAGAGATGCACTTGTGGCATCACAAGAGGAGATTTCTCAAAAGTACTCCTGCCTGGAGTTTCTAAAGAAAAAACTTCAAGAGAGTGAAGCCAAGAATAATCAAGCTGATCAACTGTGTGGAAATGCTATGGAGACTATGCCTGTCCAACCAAGAGGGGTAATACTGATAACCTATAGCCTCTGTCCCCAATAATAAATTGTTTGTTAATGTCGTTGGCCAGTCACATTCTCTAGTTCAGCCTAATATATTGTAGCTTTTTATAATTTGAGCTTCTGTTTTTTATATGTATTTATGCTATGCTTTGTTGGGTTTCATCTCTGGCCAACCACAACTTTCTTAAAGACTATAAGGCTTTGCTGTTCTGGATTTGTGGTTTAACTGACATGTTAAATCCCTCTGTATAGTTTTTCCTCGTATATTTTTGTATAATAACTCTTATAAATAAGTAAACTTTGGTTTCTTAAAAAAAAAACTTTCTTAGGAATACATGGAGTGCCTTGATCCAGAACCTCTAGAAATTACAAAGAAATTAACATGAGTTTTCTCTTTTTATTTTTTTGGGAAAATTGTCCATAGGACACCTAAAATGGCCTCTCTTTGCTGGCGGACACTGAAAATAATCAGATTTGCTGAAAGACACTCTGTTTTTTTTTGCAAAATATGCTGACGGACACTGCGCCTATTAAAATATTCATTTCTGACTTTGGAGGAGAGAGAAGAGCGGCAAAATGTCATTTTTGCCCCTGCCTTCTTCTTCTTCTTCTCCCCTCCCTTTTCTTCTCTCCCCTGCTCACTGAGAGAGCATGAGCCCCACATGGCGGCGGACTCCTCGCGCTCCATCCAAAGGCACCACGGAGTCCGGCGCTACGCAGTCGCAGCACCGGGTGGCGACCGAGCACTCCGAGGACCAGCCCGCGCCTACCCACCCTTGTTCGCTCCTCCTTGGTCCAGCCTCGATCCGCTCTCTACGCTCGCTTAGTCCGGCCGCCATTGACGCGCGCAGCCGGAGCTCCATTTTCTTCTTTCTGCGCCCTCCTCCGCCTCCCCCGCCAGCATCAGCAGCAGACTACGAGGACCCGCTCACCTCACTCTCCCTCTCGCTGCCGGGGCTGGACCACCAGGCGTCGTCGGGGTTCCACCACGACAGCGCGCGGAGCCACTTCCAGGAGCTCTCTCCCCCGTCGCGCTCCCCGCCGCCGCAGTCTCCTCCACCCGCCGCCCTTCCTTCGCCGCAGGCGGCGGCGGCTCCATCTCAGTCGTCGTCGATCCGTTCAGTGGCGAGCTGGTGGCCGCGATGCAGGAGATGATCCGCGCCGAGGTGCGCAAGTACATGTCCGTGGGGCCCCCGGGCCCCGGCGCCGTCGGTGAGGCGTGCATGCCGCAGCTGCTGGAGGGCGTCATGCGCGCCGCCGCGGAGCACATCGGCGTCGTCACACGGCCGTAGAAGAAAACCCCCAAACGAAACCAAATCAGATCGAATCAATGCGGAGCATTGTGTTAATTAAGGAGATCCCGTCCCGTCCTGTGTAGCAGCACTACGTAGACTACTACTACTGCTAGTCGTACTTGTATTTAGGAGAGGAGCTCGCGTTGTTTATTCGTCGGCGGCTTCCGCTCTGAATTTAGAAAGAAGAAAAGGGAGGGGCGTCATTGAGCAGGGGAGAGAAGAAAAGGGAGAGGGAAGAAGAAGAAGGCAGGGGCAAAAATGATATTTCGTCACTCTTCTCTCTCCTCCAAAGTCAGAAATGAATATTTTAATAGGCGCGGTGTCCGCCAGCATATTTTGCAAAAAACAGAGTGTCTTTCAGCAAATCTGATTATTTTCAGTGTCCGCCATCAAAGAGAGGTCATTTTGGGTGTCCTATCGACAATTTTCCCTATTTTTTTCAGTGAGGTTGCATGATCCTATGATAAGTACCTATGTTCATATCCTTTTCTTTAATTGTGAAATAGGTGCAAACAAGATCAATGCAAAAGAGGAATATATTATCCGAGGGACCTTCGGACTATGGTGCTGATGAAAATGAGCATACTAGCCATCTGGATGGCCCATCTCTATCTCCTTTGAAATTGTTGGCAAATCTTAGTGTATGGACCTTTTCAATGTACATGGGTTTTCTCCAATTTTTTTATATTTCAGTCTGTGGAAAACTTCTAAGATAATAGTATTATCCCTATGGCCCTATTGATTTCACTGTTCATTCATTGTGCATGCATTTTAAGCTATCTCTTACCTTGATATCACTGTTCATTCATTGCGCATGCATTTTAAGCTATCTCTTACCTTGATAAATGTTAATGTGAACGCAGACGCCAACGGGATCAATGGAGAAACAGAAAGGACTGTCTGAAAGACCTTTGGGTAGCGATGCTGACAATCTTGAGGTTACAGAAGAGCGTCCTAGGCAAGAACTAGTAAACAACCCACCTGCTAAGGAAACCTCGTGCTTTTGTGAGCAAAGAATATGACCTAGAAGCAATCAGAGACGAGCTGATCAAGGTTCAATCATATCCCTTAATATTTACTCAATGTCTCAATCTCGTTGCATAATGTAAACTGTGTTGTGGGAGTCCATGTTAGACTTACACGCAAGTTGGTGTTCCAGGGATTCCTTGAAATTGACACTGGAGGAAGGATAATTGGTATAAAGGAAATGGGGGAATTGGATGAGAAGGCATTCAAGGCTGCTTGTCTTGCAAAAGTGCCTCCTGAAGAAGTTGGCGCAGCATCTTATCAGTTATACTCATCATGGAAGCAGCAACTTGGTGACCTAAGTTGGTATCCTTTCAAGGCTATCACAATTGATGGCAACCACCAGGCATGTCAATTCTAGAATGCTTCTTGGTACTATCATACAGGTTTTCTGAATGATAATAGACTATGTGGTGCTTACATTACCAGGAGATTGCGAATATTGATGATGATAAGCTGCAAGAGCTGAAGAGGGCATGGGGTTCTGGTGCTTATAATGCTGTGGTTAACGCCTTGGTGGAGATGAAAGAGTATGGCCGTCTGAACGACAGAAGCATTGCCTATGAGCTATGGAACTTCAAGGAGGGGAGGAGGGCTACTACAAGGGAGTGTGTCGACTACATGTCGAATCAGGTGAAGAGGCTGACGGTGACGAAGCGCAGAAAGACACGCAGGTAATGCAACATTGTCCTAGACTGATCTTCTATTGTATAATTGCTCCGGGAGGATAAACTTGTGGCATTTAATTATAGCATCATAATAATGGCTTATAGATGGCTGAAGCATTTTCTAGTATTTAACCATGTTGGGACCTATAACCATTGTTATGCCTGCTATAATTTGCTTAAATTGTGTTGAATAAACACTCCATAGTTTATATGAAATGTGAGCTACATTATAGGAGTGTGTGATTAGTAGTATGACACTCAGACACTTTATATTGAAGGGACAAGAGAGGTACTAGCAGAAGAAACAAGAGTATTGCAATAAAGAACTGGTAATTAACTTAACATTGGTTTCATTTTGGGCATAACTGTGGAAAAAAGTTATTTAAATGCCACTCTAACCTTACCAAAGATAACTAGAAGTGAACTGATATACTCTGAAATTCTCGATCGCACATGCATATGCTAGTGAAGTCAACAAACACCTTACATGTTGTTCTTTACTTTCCACAAACCTGTCCCTGAGAATCATTCATTCTTGTTTCATAATCGCATTGTGAATTCTTCCATTCTGGGATGACCTTATCAATGTTCCTTTTTTAAGTGGCCACATTTCTCTCCGAGAATCAAGTTGGGAACAATGCCAAACTGCTTCTCATCGAACTCACTCTCGCTGTTGTTGCGCAGGTGGAGTGGCGCGGCGTGAGCTACCTTTCTAACTCCCGAAGGATCTGATACCGCTTCATATATGGAAGCAGTGATTCTGCCCGAAGCCCACGAGATGTGGCTCCGATAGTCCGATTAGTGGAGAACCAGACTGCATGGTGTTGTAGGGAACTCTTATCCTAGCCTAACTATGAAATCATGAATCGTGTCTAGTATGTTACCATCGTGGATCATGAACTTTTATGATGTTCGTGTTTCTTATATTAGATCTAACTCAATATTATGGTGTTCTGAAACACTTTGATTAGCTTCCTGCTTGATATCTATGAACGTCCCTTAGTTTCACTATGAATTTGCCTTGTTTTGGCCTGGGAGTTAAATGTTTCTTTGCTTGAACCATTTTATTAGAGTAAGTGCATGACATAAATCAGAAAACGACCACAAGTCCACTGAATTTGCTTTCATGTACACTATAGTGTGAAGAAGTGGATTCAGTTCACAGTTCAGTGAATGAAGCATTATTAGCATTTGTTTTCATGTATACCACTGTTGATCGACACTATATATTAGTACTAGCTAGTACGATTTTTGTATATTATGGTTGTAAAATGTAAGTGGTTGAGTACCGTTCAGGTACCATCCTACGTTTTTCCCCAAATCCCAACCCTGCGTTTCAAAACAGCATCGATTTGTATCGATCAGATCATCAGACCATGCGCTTATGTGTTGATTTTCATGTACCAGCTTAAAAAAATCGGTAATGGTCTGAACCGGGCATCCATCCGCCTAAACGATCTATTGCTGGGCCACGATGCTAGCCCAACAACCATGCTCCATCGTTTCTCAAAAAATACTGCTCATCCACTTATTCCTATCTCATATTGCTCTTATCCGCTCGCTTGTCACCTCCAAGCACACGGCCGCTGGCCCTCCAAGGCGCACCGCTCGGCCGCTGGCCTTGCCAGGCATGGTGCGCGGCCACCTCCGAGTCGCGGCGCTCAGTTGCCGGCCCTGCCAGGTGCGGTGCTCTGTTGCCCTCTCCATGTTGCACGGCCGTGGCCTCCCACCGCTCGTGCGCCCGATGCCTCCCTTCCGCGACGTGCAGCCACTGCCGCCGGTCCGCTGGCTACAAGCGCCGCTGGGCTGCTACTTCTGGTGAACACCAAACACCAATGTGCCTCTATTCTGCCGAGTAGTAAGGAGATGTTGCGTTGAAAGCGCATGTTACAAGAGTATGTTTCAATTGTCTCGGAGATATGTTATAAATGTTTTATATGGATGTTGTAAAAATAGATCGTGATGCTGCATATGTTGCAATGGTTGTACATGTATGTTGCAAGCGTCTGTTTCAAATGTTTTATCTGCTTTTTCAGACTATGTTGCAAGTGTGCTTATTCGGATGTTGCATATGTTTCAAACATATCTTGCAAGAGTATGTTCGAAATGTTACACCTATTTCAGTCTTATGTTGTAATAGATGTTTTCATGTTGCAAGTTGCAAGTATTTTATCTAGATATTGCATATGTTTCACACACATGTTGCATGTGCATGTTCTAAATGTTTCATCTGCTTCAGACGTATGTTGCATTCAAATATGTTCATGTTGTAAGTGTTTCCTGTTTCAAAGATATATTCAAAGAGTCATGGGGGGCACGCCTCGATCACCGGTCGCCGGGGAAAGGGGCGCGACGAGCCTAGGGCGGGCGGATGGAGTGCGCGACGTGCCTAGGGTACTGCGGACGGGACGTGCTCGTCCTCATCCCGGCTCCCAGGTTCCACCCGCGCGGAGAGAGAGGAAGGGATCGAGGGGAAGGAGCGGCGGGCGCGGGGCAGGGCGAGACAGACGGGGGCGGGGTACACGTGTCTGTGCGGGATGAGGCAAATGGGGAAGGACTACAGTGATATGGTGGAAGTGTGGCGCGTTTATGCAAGGATTTTCAGTACCGTCCGATGGAATCCTATCCCATCGAACGTCCGGGCGCCAGCAATTCCTAAAAAATATATAAGGTTCTCTTTGAAATACAGGTGAAAGTGCATTTGCCCACCATGTGGGTTTTGGTGTATTGATGACATCCAAATTAGAGACTAATGTGATCTTAATGAGATATGTCGTAGTTATTAGTCACATGAAAGATTCAAAGAGTTGATAAAGATGAAATGGTGTCCCTCAATTTCTTTAAGTACAAATGGCGGACAAACTCAAAATGCTCTTCAAGTTTACTTTTCTTGTTTTTGGGTTTAGGTTCGCCATACTATAAAGAGGGATGCAAGTTGAAGTGGTCTAAGGAAGATAGAGTGCTCAAGTATAAAAATAAAATCAAAAGAGAGAGACACTAGCAATTCACGGGCACGTATAATATTTTTCGAGACTTTTGGTGTCGGAAGTCCCGACGTAAGTCAGAACTCCTGACGGTCGGAAGTCCCGACTTAGGTCGGGAGTCCTGACACCTAGACCTTGGCTGGGCTGCTGTCTGCACTCATCGGAAGTCCCAACCGTTGGAAGTCTCGACGTACACCGGGAGTTCCGACATTAACCTGCTCGTAGTGACTTTGACCTAGCTGTGAACATTGTTTTCTTTAGAGGTCGGAAGTTTCGAGATCTGCGTCAAAACTTCCGACGTAGATCTGAACGGTTAGATTTCTACCATGAGTATAAATAGCCCTCTCCTCTCTTCTAACCGTCACCCACTGATTTACTGCCACCAACCTTCATCCAAAAAAACTCCCAAGCATTCAAGGGTCCCCTCTTCTCTCCCCATTGCTCCAAACTTCGATTCCCCTAAGGATTTGAGTGATAGGAGAGTGGATTTAGTGAGAAAATCACTTTGGCAAGCTTGAGCACTTGATTTCTTCATCAATCCGGTTAGATTTGCGTCTATTACTCTTGGGGCTTTGGCCCTAGCTGGCTAAATGTCACCCAAGAGCTTCCATCTTGTAGAAGAACCTTGGGAAGTTTGTATTACCCTTGATTTCTTAGTGGAAAGCTCAAGTGAACTTTGTGGTTACTTTGAGAGAGGCAAGAAGGTGAAAGAGACTCTGACCTTTGTGGTCACCTCAACAACGAGGACGTAGGAGCTCCTTTGTGGGGTTACCGAACCTCGGGATAAATCCTTGTGTCCCGCGTGCTTCTTGTTGTTGTGATTTGCTCAAAATTACTTGTATTTGTTTGTCTCTCTATCTCCCAAACTTTATTTTAGGGTTTGGACTCGATCTACGATTTGAAGTCATTTTGACGTCAAGGGAGTGACCCAACATCTTCACCAAACTACTAGGAAGTGGGGTTGTGAGATTATTTATCCACAAAGTTAAATTTGGCACTGCTTTTGTAGTTCACGTAGGTGTCAGGACTTCTGACAGTTTGTGCTGGAACTTTTGACGACGTCGGGAGTTCTGACCCAAACTGTCGGGACTTCTGACAGTGGCTGACAAATTTGAACTTAGCATTTGCAGTAAAATTTTAGATATGCCTATTCACCCCCCCTCTAGTCATTGTTAGATCCTTTCAATTGGTATTGCAAGGTCTTCTTTTAGCGCTTCACCGCGTGAGAAGAAACAATGTCGGACACTGAAAAGATGAAAGTCGATGCCATCAAGATGGCTAAGCAAATTGCAAAAGAGTTGATGGCTGAGCAAGCAAAGCTATTCCAAGATGAAATGAAAAAGATACAAGATGAGATGAACAAAATGATGGAAGAGTTGAGCAAGAAGGTTGAAGATGCTATAAGTGGCAAGAATGAAGTAACCAAAGACAATGCAAGTGATGTTAGAGCAGGCGAGCATGCTCATGGAAAAGGAATGTATTCAAACATGGGATTCGATTATGGACAACTCATCAAAGGTCCATCTCTACATTCTCCGTCCATCAACCTTGGCAAGCCACCTCACTTTGATGGAACAAGATACTCTAATTGGTCTTACAAGATGAAGATGCATCTCATTACCGCAAGACTTTGGGAAGTTGTGGATGTTGGTGTGATGATTCCTACCGATGAACATCGAGAGATAACTCTAGAAGAAGTGCACAATCTCCATCAAAATGCACAAGCCGTAGCATTACTTGTGTCAAGCCTAGGCCTAGATGAGTTTAGAAAGGTGAATGGAATGAAAAGTGCAAAGCAAATATGGGACACTTTGAAGGTGTCATTTGAAGGAGATAAGAGTGTGAGAAAATGCAACATTGAGTTACTTCATGGTGAATTGGAAAGATTTATGTTCTTGCAAGATGAAACAACCCAATCTATGTTTGATAGGCTTATGGCATTGGTCAACCGCATAAGAGCTCTGGGAAGCACCAAATGGGATGACAACAAGGTTGCTAGGAAGATGTTGAGAACCTATAGAGCCAAGAACAACATGCTAGCGTCCATGATCATGGAAATGTTTAGTTATGATGAGATGACATCCTAAGAAGTTCTTTCAAAGCTCAACATCATGAGTGTCTAGATAAAGATGCAATCAATGCTCACAATCAAAATCCTAATGCAATGGGATACAACAAGAATGCAGCCCTAAAGGCAACTCAAGCTCATAAAGGGAAATCTTCTAGTCAAGAGAAGAAGAAGAAAGTGAATGATGATTCCTCAAGTGAAGAATAAGAGTCCGATGAAGAAGTTGCACTCATCATTAGAAACTTTAGAAAGTTCATAAAGAAGAAGAGCAACCGCAAGACTTACGGTGATGGGAAGAGAAGGAACAAGAAGAGGTTTTGCTATGGGTGTGGCCAAACCGGTCACTTCATAGCCGATTGTCCTAATGAGAAGAAGAATAACAAGCACAACAAAGATGAAGACAAGAAGAACAAAGGCAAGAAGAGAGGTAAAGCTCATCTTGGTGAAGAATGTGAGTCAAATGATAGTGAATCAAGTGATGATGAGAAGAAGAAGAAAGGAGACGCAAACATCGCCATCCACCATTCTTCATCACCAACCATGATCTTCCCCGACTCGTCTTCACCACCAAAACTCTTTCCCAACTTATCTTCATCACCAAGGCTCTTCTCCAACCTCATCGACAATGACTACTACACTCTAACTTGCCTC